TTGTGAACTTTTCTTTCAGTGTCAAAGTGTAATAAAATATTACTCATGGTAATTAAAATTTTGTGCTGCTTCTCGACGCTGCTTTTATTTCTTTGCCGGCGGCTCAAGTTCAATGTGCACACGCACACACGCCGAGGCAGCAAAGTGAAAAAATTAAAACAATTAAAAAGCGTTTGTCGAGGTGCTCAAGTTGAAACAAAAAAAATGAAATAAAAATAACTGGAGGGGGGCTTTTCCGAGGGAGTTTGCGCCTGCGCAGACCATAAACCAGCATAAAGCAAACTGCGCTGCCGGCGACAGTTCAACGACATGTTTATTAAGTCATACGCAAAATTTGTTAGGCCACAGCCTGGGACTGGAACTCGGACTGAGACTCGAACTGAGACTGAGACTGGAACTCAGACTGGGACTGGGTCCAGTCTTAACTGTCTGAGAACCCAGAGAAGCCGGCAAGCCGGCAAAGCCGGGCGAGATTTATGCCGCCGCACTCTATGAGATTACATAAATGGCCATTAAAATGTATGCTAATAAAAACAAGATATGTCCAACCAGACAAGCGCACAAATTATATAATTAAGACCCCAACGCAGTCGGTAGAGGAATATTATTTACTCACCTCGGTAGGCACATAGTAGAACATGGAACGAAGAAGCCCACACACTTCCAACGAAAACTAAGGAACAAGTCATTTTTTAGCTATTTATTTCTGATTTATTTTGGGTGACAACAAGGGAAAATAAATGGGAAACACGAATTTAGTATTGAAAACAAAATATAAAAAAAAATCTAAGAGGGGTTTTCATAATATTTTTTATATGACCTTCAAAAATAGGCAATGATTTAGGTATTACCAACTACAGGGTATCCTGAAATAGGATTACCAATTAATTTATTTATAATAAAAATATATAAATATAAAATAATAGCAAATATATATAATTGATCATATAAAAGATTTAATAAATAAATAAAATAATAAAAAAAGTATAATTAATCATATAAAAGAGCTAAAAAAAAAAAATTAAAAACTACAATAAATGAAAGTATAAATGTATATAAAGAGGAAAATGTATATATATCATATATCGTGTTTAATATTTTATCAAAAATATTGTGAACATTAATTCATAAAATTGTATATATGTATATATCTATGGATATATCATTTTTAAGAATTCATTTGGCTTATAATAATAATAACAAGAAAGGAAGCTAACTTCGGCACGCCGAAGTTTGGATACCCTTGCAGATTGGTTTTCATATTTATATTATAAATTATATTGCCGAAAACAGACACTAAACAGAGTTTCATAACATTTTACCTATACTTATTATGTTTAAAGTTTGACAGTTACAGTTATACATTCCCAGCTTTACATTTTCTCTACATCTACGGATCGCTTCTATGGCAGCTATATGATATAGTTGTCCGATTTTCATAATATTCTGAAATAATACTAAAAGCTCATGTCTCAAAGTAGATGAAAATACGTTGAAAAACAACGAAGTTATAATATTTTTAAGACAGCTTAGTAGCCAGCGATAATTTATAAATTTATATTATATATAAAAAGATACATATTTACTCGCATTCTATAGGGCCTTGACTTATTTAAAATTTGACAGCAAATAGGAGTAGATAATAAAACCAAAAAAGCGGTTTTATTCGTTTAATAAATCCAATAAAATGTCCTCATGAAAACGCTTTAAACCGAAATTAAAGAATATAATGAACAATAGATTCAATGAATATTTAAAATTAGTTCCATATAAGATTTAATTCTCAGAATGGTTTTTTCATCACTGAAATGTTGGAAATTTTGCGAGTTTCAACTTTGGCGTCGAATTCCAAAGACATGGGCAATGTTCCACGATTGGGACTATTTTTTAGTAGTGCCGTGATGTATTGAGAGTAGGTCCTACCGAAAATAATAAAGGTAAGTCCAATTATATAGGCCACGTAATTCAAAATGTCGGCAAACATCGGTTTTATGTATTCTTAGGTATACCGCGGAACCGGTACGTGATGCAAAATAATTTTGTATGGGACTTTTACTCAGGAGCACCCAAATATCATGGAAAACTTGAAATGATTCGTGGAAATTTCACAAAGTTTAATTTTGTGTTCCTGTGTTATTAATTTAACAATATTTTCTTTGTGATTTAGATTTAGATTTTATGGATTCAAAGCCTTCCCAACGACCAAGCTAAAATCTAACTTGCTAACTAATAATAAAACAAATAATAGTTTAATTTATTTATTTAAGAATATGCGATGGAAGATATGTGATTTATATTTTTATATATATTATCATATTAAATTATATTTATTTTATTTTCCCCCCAATTTCTACTGATACTTTAAGGCTTATTCCTGCTACTTTCCTAGAGTTTCACCCAAAGTAATTTTTCTGCTGATGCCACTGTTGACATGTCTTAATCGACCTCGACTTCTTTCCCAGAAGCAGAAGCTAGCCTCTCTTTTCCCTCTCAGCCAGCTCGTAAAGCTGATAAACAACGAAAATCGAAAACCGAAATTAAAAAAAAACCATAAAATCCGGTGATGAAAATATTCGCGGCGCAATCGAGTGGCTCGATCGCAGCACGAGCTCAAAGCCTGAAGCTGACTGCCGGGCGGCTTGGCAAACGTAAATAATAACAACTGTAAAAATCATAATAATAACAATAACAAAGCGTTCGGCCTCAGCGCCGATAAAAATAATAAACAAGGCAGAGAGCGTAAATATTGAAGGCGCTTGGAAATGCAAATCACACGCCCAATTTAACAAATTAATTGAATCGCTTTGTAAACAAATCGAATTTCAATTGCAAACGCGGCAAAGGCTAATTGACTCGCTTTGATGGTGGGGTTGGGGGAATCCCGGGTAGAATATACATATACAGTAAACTATATGGGTTAGTGATGACAGAGGCAGAAGCAATTAAGATGAGGTACTGGAAATTAATAAATAATAAGTGTATCTTTAACTAGAATCCTTTTATGGCAAATCCTTTGTCTCTCCTTTGGCCACCCATCAATCACCTCCACCCAATTAGGGCTGATCAATCGCCGCTTTGATCCATCATTGCACTCATAATTATAATTGAAGCCACTCTCCTTCCTTCTTCGCTTGCCACATAATTGAGTTGTCACTTGTCTGCAGCTCAATCGCTCGGAAAAGCGGAAAACCCAGGCGAGAATGGGAAACATACATATGTATATATAGATATTCCTTCGTCCGTCTGTCTTGCAAGAACGGGGACAGGGACTTGGTTTCCTGGAAGGTGTTGCAGGACAATAAAAAATACAAAACGAGAGATTGGGAATTTGTGAGACCAACAAAAAGGAGCGCAAATGGCAGGACAATGGCAAAAAGTGGCACAGCCAACAAAGGGCTGCACAAATGCAGTTATCTTTTGCAAATTTCGTCCGTAGAAATGATGGGTTATTAAATGTTGTTAATCTCCAAGCTGAGAGACCCACGCAGACATACATATATACATGCATATTCAAATTTCAGAGCCAAGAGCCAGGTAGTCAGTCAGTCGTTTTGACCGACCGCTATGGCAACCACTGTTATGGCCAGGTCAGTAAAGGACCACTAGGGGTTGTCGAGCCTCTTGGCATTTGCCTTTATTGTGCACGATGTTTAAATATTTACCGAGTTTTACAATATTTATGACAGCTAAAAACATAACAACACCTACTTACCCAAAAGGGCTCATGGCGAGCAGGCCTAAAAAGGGGACACTTGACACTGGTACTGGTACCCGGCCGGGTCTGGTTTGGTTTGGTCTGGTCCGGCTTACAACATGGACTTCCTTCGATCGATTGCAATCAATAAACGGCTTAGACGGCATTATATATGTATATATAGTTTCGCTACCATACACAGCTCGTCTCGTGCTAATCCATTTGCATGTCAACAGCATGTCCTTGGACCACTGTGTGTTGTCTGCTGTCCCGTCTGCTTCCGTTCGCTGAGCGCTAATAATCCGACTGGACTGGGCCCTAAGTTGGCCACTAAGCGCCCTAAACGGAGCTTGGCAATAAGCCAAGGCATTAAAAAGTAAATTTGCCTAAATCCGCTTAAAACAAAGCGGGGATTTTGGTACTAGGACTTGGACTGGCGAATGCGAGTATTCATACTCATATTTAAATTCCAATTCAGACTCTTAGGCGAGACAAGTGCAGGCCTTGTTTTCGTTAACCCCGGGGATAAGCGGCAGCTCATCTGGCGGCTGATCCCCGAGCCGGGCTCTTGCCGCTGACGGCTTCAGGCTCAGCTTTATGGCACTAGAGTGGCTGCACTTGGCCAAAGAAACTTTCATTGAGAGCCAGGTTTCATTGATCGGAGTCCATTCATTGGGTTTACAGGTAGATGTGCTCAGGGGGGGATTTGGTATCTGGGGGGTTTTCACCAGGGTTATCTAAAGGGGAGTTGTGCTAATATGTAGCCTGAAGCAGTCGCAGGAGATCGTAAGACCCTGGAGAGACCATGGGAGTCAAGAGAATCATTGCTGGGATATCCAGAGAAAAAGGAGACTTTATTCTAGGATATCTTTAGACTTAAGATAGAAAGGTGGGTGACGGATAGATATATAGAAAGATAGATAGATAGATAAATAGATAGAGATATATATAGATCGATAGATATTCAGTTAGAAATAAAGTTATCGCACAGCCCTCCAGCTATGGATATTATTTTACACCGGTTAAAATCTGCAGAACATAAAAACTGGCATTAAAGTGCGCTTAAAATTCCCAAGTAGGAACTTTTTGTCATGCACTTAAAATTCCCAAGTCAAAATTCTGTTACACGCGAACATGTTAAAATCCCTGTCATAAAATATTATATAAAAGAGATTTTCTTAATATAAACCACGTGCTAGACTCAATATTTTAAGAAAAATTTAATTTTATTTAATGAATTAGTTGTTTAAGTTCCATGCAAATTTCTTTATTTCCCTCCCCAAAACGCAAATCAATCCACTTTAGCTTTCAGTTTTCGATTACAGTTTATTGTTGGCTTTATTTCGCAGCTGCTTTAAGTATAATTCGTTCGGTTCTATAAATACGAAAATCGATTTCTAGCGGCGATCTTAGGCTATATACAATTAGGTTAAATACGAACTAGTCAAGCACTATATCACAGATGTCAAAAACACAAGCTAGCCTAGCAAAAAAAAATGTTAGAGAGCTTAGATCGAACTTAGCCTAGATACAATGGGTTAGCTTAGCCTACTAGCGGGGTGGTGGATCTAGATCAGGATCAGGATCACGGAGGAGGAGGGTCACATAATATTCCTTAGGGGGCAAGGCGGGGGATGATAATACTTCCGGGGGCGGCGGTTGCTCTTATGTGACTAGAACGGCAACGGCTGAGGGGGTCTTCTCCAATAAATACGTACGAGTCTGTGCTGGCAATCAAATAATTTACTTAATCTACGATCGGTCGATTAACGGTTAAATTAATGGCGGGACAGGTCTAAGTAGATGCGTTTTGTGGGTGTATTTTAGGGTGTGTCTTGTGTGTGTGTGTTTATCCTGAGGATGGTGAAGCTGCAACCTCACGTGCGCTGCACGCTCGACTGGCGCTTGCCGCGCAATCCGGTAGCTGATCTGCCGCCGGCTCCAGCACCGGCTAAAGCAGCTCCTGCTATAGTTTCTTGACCAGAACTAGAGCCAGAGCCAAGACTCGGCTTGGACACCTCATTGAACTCCTTGCGGTTCGCCAAGTTGGCGGAGCTCTGCCAGCGCTGCTCCAGCTGCTGCTGCTTCTTCTGGTGCTGCTGCTTCCGCGAGTGGTGCTGCTGCTGCTGCTTCCCCGACTGGTGGTTATGATGGAACTGATGATGATGCTTTTTGCGTGGGTGGTTCCTTTGCTTCCTGGGACGCCGCTGGCCATCGCGACGCAACAGCTGCCACATGGTTCGCAGGAAGTCATAGTAATGGTGCTTCACAAAACGCATGTCAATAGAGTCGGCGCTGGCACCACTTGTTCCACCACTGCCACCCTTGGAACGCAGCTTCAAACGCTTATTCATCTCCAGACGCGAGATCTGCGGCAGAGGCGCAGAGCCCGATAATGAAGGCACCGCCGTCGCACCGCTGCGCCGCTGCTTCTGCGTGTGGCGCGGACTCTGCGTCTGGTTGACGGCCGTCTCCAGCTCACAAAGGATGCGCCGGGAGCTCAGCAGCAGCTCGCGCAGCTCGCGGGCGGTGCTCGACTCGCGGGTGATGGAGCGCTGATCCCAGCGTATCTGTTGACGCCTCAAATAGGCAAAGCTAGCGACGTACGTTTGCATGTTGCGGTACCAGCGCTTCAGGGCAATCTATAAGGAAAAGGATGAAATGGCAGAAGGAGTGGCAAAGTTAGCTAGGAATCCAGGATATTTCTTGGCTAGAATAAAGTCAGGTTGCTAGGAAAACTATGACTTACCGTGGAATTGGGCTTGAGCTTGGGCAGGAACTTGTAGTTGTGCGTGTGCAGGGACCACATGGTCATGTTGCGTATATCAATGGCCGAGTCCTGGCTGCTGTTCAAACTGCGGTACTCCCTAAAGGCATGACGCTTCAGCTGATTGAAGCTCTAAGGAATTACAAGAAGATAAAAAGAAGAGATCATGGGTTAGTCCTGCTGGAGATAACCAAAATCTTCGTGACAAACTCACCTGCCTGGGACGCTGTCGGCTAAGGCGATCCCCCGCCGAGGGATGATAGTTGCCACCGCAGGGATTGGCCCACTCCAGGGCGGTGGTGTTCTCGTCAAAGTTTCGATAGTCTATCCAGTTGCTGTTCCGCTTCCGATGGCGCTTCCTCAGGCCCGAGGCTGAGGAGGAGGAGGAGGCGGCGGAGCTATTGCTGGTGATGGTGGTGCTCGAGGTGGTGGTGCGCACCTGGAGCCGGGCGGCATCGATTACGGTGAGTCCGCCGCTGCTGGTGGAGCGCGTGGCCGCCGGTTGGGGCAATTCGGCGGCAAGCATGATGGCGAGCAGGAGCAGGAGCAGCCGGTAATGGGCCATTGCGGCATGTTGCTTGCTTCCGTTACCGCCGGCGTTTCCGTTTCCGTTGCCGGCCGTGATGCTGCCTTTAGCTGTGGTCGCAGCGCTTTGCCGCCAACCAACTGGAGTCCATAGATCCATATCCATCAGGAAGGTAGGAAGGTTTAAGGAGTTTAAGGACAGGGGCAAGAGGAGGGTAAAAAAAGAAAAGAGTGGGAGACAGACAATGAGTATTTTTTTGGTTTTTTTTTTTTTTTTGGTTGGTTGGCTTGGGGAATGCAAATGTAAATTCAACTCAGATTCAGATGCAACGATCACTGATTCCAAACTCTTTGAAAATTGCGACTCCTACGACTGGTCACAATGTTATCCTTGATACTACTCTCTTTTTCTGGCTTCTCTAGGAGTCCTGGCTCAATGCGAGTGCAACAAGAGGAACCGTGCAACAGTCTGAACAATTTTGTTCGCTTTTTTTAACATTTTCTCTGCGTATTTTGGTTTTGTTTGGCTTCTTTTTACGTTTTTTAATGTTTTTTTTTTGTTGTTAATGCTTCTTTTTAATGGTTTTTTTCTTCTTTTTGGCTTTTCCAGGGCGTTAGATTAGTGTGTGAATGTGTGTGTGTGTGTTTTTGTTTTTTGTTTTATTTTTTTTGGGAGTAGGGAAAGGGGGAGTATAGGTGGAATATTGAAAAACTTTTTAATTTAGACAATTAACTCGAAAGTAGCCTGAGCGAGAAGGCTCTACGGAAGACTATCTGAGGCTCCTCGTAGGCGGAAAATTGGCTTGAAGAAAAGCGTAGAACTGGCAAATGGGCAAAAAGGCCGATTCGCCGGCACATGGAATTGCCACGGCAAAGTTCAAAGCGAAAAGTTTGGGAGAATTTTGGTTAACAAAAATTTGGAATTTTTGAAACTCAAAAAATTTGTATTTATTCCGGTTGAAGCTAATCTCATTCGATCGAGTCGCACACACACACACACACACACACAAATCTATTATCCTTGATCGTTGGCTGAATGTGGTTATTCTACTTTACTTTTGATTTTAATTAAATTAAAAATAATACACACACCGCATTATAGTTGAAAAGTAGAGTCGGGAAGGATCCTCGCAGGATCCCTGGGCTTTCTTCTCTCCGCTGCTTATCGAAGATCGGTTTGTAGCGGATAATCCAAGTGGCGATCGCGTTCACAATTTGCAACACAACACTCGAAAAAAAAAATGGGTATGCTGATAATGAGTCTTGAGTCTGGGGATCTTGGTATCTGGGTCTTTGTTGATGGCTGTTCGCGGACACTTCTGCTCGCGTCCGAGTGTGAAAACGAACTGAGCCAAAGTTGCGCTGGATTTGACCAGCTTTCTTTGTTGAGAGGCTGTGGCCGTGGCTCGGACTGTGGCAGCAGCAGCAGCGGTACGACCCGACGACGAGCAGCGCCAAAAGGCCGAAACCGAAACCGAGATCGCCACCAAGCCGAGAGCTCTGCCGACGTCGCTGCAAAGTAGAGCAAGACAGAGACCCAGGCAGGCCATGCTCTCTCGCTCCATCCCACTCTGATCCTCGGTATCCCGGGCCACCTGCACGTGTCATTTATATACATACCTGGGCAGGCACAGTCGCCGTCCCTGTTGCTCCTGCAGGCCAGTCGGTCGCCATTGCAACCTCCGTTATCCCTGCTGCCCAATCCGCGTCACCCGCTCAAAAAGACTGAAGAGGGAGAGTGAAGAGAGAGAGAGAGAGGAAGAGCGAAGAGAGAGGGAGTAAGATGGAGAAAGAGAGCCCAGAAGGAAGAACCTACCTGACCCCGTCCCGCTCTTACAGCCCCTAGTTTTCCCCTCACTCGCCCTCTCGCTCTATCTTTCTCGATCTGCTTTGAAAGTGACCTTGAGCCTTGGCTACCCGCTCACCCCTCCTTTAGCCCAAAAATTGTAAGAAAAAAGTCCTGAAATTTGAATTTGATCAACGGAAATGACCAGAAACAACGATCCAGGTAAGTGAAGGTAGGGCATCTTCGAGAACTCTTCACGCGCGGAAAATCCGGGCTTAATCGTTAAATGGGGAAAGCGGAAAAGCGAAAAAAGGCATTTAAAAACATGAATTTTATTATTACTAACTAAAATATATTCTTTTAGATTTATTTGCTATAAAAATACATTTATTTAAGTATTTGTATATTTATGTATGTATATAGTATTTAGAATATATAATGTGTATTATTTATATTATTTTAAAGATTTATTTTGCTCGTTGTTTTCGGATTCATTGCTCTCCACATATTATATATTTTGTATTTATTTATTTTATTATTATTATTTTTATAATATATATTTTCCTAATTTATATTATTTCACGTATTTTTTTTTCTATAATATATTTCCTTTCCATATTTATTATATTTTTCTTAATTTAATTCACATAAATTAGGAATCCACTATAACCCGTAACATATATAGATAACAGATTTCGTTCTTCCGTAAACTTCTCTAACGATCATATGTCAGCTAGGGAACGATTTTCTTAATTTTAAAAATCAGCTTTCTTGGGTTAAGAAGGGTAATTCGTAATATATTTAATATTATTTACTAGTTTGAATTTAAATAGGTTAAATAGGTAAATATAAATGGGTTTCACTATCAATATTCAAAGATATTTTATTTTTTTTTTTATAATATATATTTTCTTATAATAGTTATATTCTAAAATATCAATATTTAAATCTATTAATATTAGTAATTTTTTAAACTTAAAAGAGTATTTCATAACCTTTTTAACATAATTAATTAGATTGAATTTAAATAGGTTAAAATATTAAATATAAATAGGCTAAAATATTAATATTTAAATCTATTTCAATTATTAATTAGCTTGAATTCTTAACATAATAATGTCTTAACCCATTTTAAAATATTAATTGATTATAATTATATTTTTTTTTTAGGAACTAAAACAATTTCTTGAATAAATTCATACCTTTAAGTGCGTTAAATAAAGTGGCATAATTTATATGATTTTTCACAATATTTATGCCACTTTTAAGACACTTTATTCCAGTTCTATAAAATGTACAAACAAGTTTATTAAAATGCGATTTTCCTTCACTGGCAAAGCTATCGTTTCGGCAGGCAACTTTTATAGCGAGGACCGCACAGCTGAGCAGGTAAAGGGGCGCTACCTAGGATCTGGCAGGATCTCCTACTACTCATATACACCCTACCGTTGGGCCTCCCCCTTTTTTGGGCCAGGTCAGTCGAGTGGCCATGATCCTGCGCCCTCTTTTTATTTCTCGAGGGCTTGCACAATTGACGGGCTAATTAAATCGAGAGAGTTGTGTATGTGCGTGTCTGTCTATATGTATTGGCTTTGTTTTGTTGTTTTTGTGGGCAGCACACACTGAATTATGGCCGCATTGTTTGAGGGCCCGAAAACAGCTGTATAGATGGCCAGATAGCGGACAACCGTAAGTACAACAACTGCCGCAGGAAGCAGCCGTATCACCCAGCGGGGCCACTCGCCTTGATTTCGCCGCCGCCAGGACCTTGGGGGACCCAACACAGTACAACCCACACGGGACGGACATCGGCGGCGGCACAGCGAGAGGGACGGCAGGGTACATGGACATATATCAAGGTGGCAGCACATACATACATACCTTTTGTGTGTCCTTTGGGAACTGCAAACGGATCTCTATAACTATTCGCACCCGGAGCAACAGCTTCATCTTGCCAATGGATTGGGATGCATCTCTATCTGGGACACGATTATTGCCTTGATGAGCTCCTGCTGCTGCTGCCGGTACACACACACATGCACATCGATCTCGGCGGGATGCCTCCCTCCTTTCCCCCTCCCCCTCCCCCTCCCACTCGGCGCTCGCTCACTTTCCTTGGGACTTTGTGTGTGTGTGTTTTACTTACGATTCGTTATGGACAACAAAAATATTTTGCTACAAAATTGAGCTGTTCTGTGAGGTCCTGAGGCCTGAATGCTTTGTGTCCTGTCATGGTGTAATTTTTTAACGGCGTGGCGAATGCTAAAGGATACGCTTTAATTGCCGCAGCGAACACCTCAGAGCCGAAGGTTAACCGAGGATCCGAGGATCCGAAGATCCCTCGTAGATCCCTCATTACACGCTGCTTAGGGCTCAGCTTCTGTCCCTTGGTCTACCTGGATGTAATGTGCCAAGGAACCAAAAACTGTGTTGTGGCTGGGCGGGGCGGAGCGGTGGTGCGGAGGTGCGGAGGCAGGGGGCGGTACGAGGTAGGTGTGAGTTTCTCGGGGCCAGTTGTTTTGATGTTTTTTGATTATGCGTAAAATCGCTCGCTTTATCACTGATCGCCCCTGCAATTCTCACATCCGAACCGATCCTTCCTGCTTCTGCTTCTGCTCCCGAACCTTAAAGGTTACTTAAACGGTTAGTCGGTCGATTTGTTTGTTTGTTTTTGTTTGTTTACAGCCGCTCATCGCCTTGCCCCGTCCTTTATAGCCGATTGCCGTTGCAATTGGCATTCGTTATGGCCTTTATTCGCCTTAGAAGCGATTGATTGAGGAAATTTAAGGACACTATCAGGGATATAGACGCTCGGGAAATCTATTAAACATCTAAGAAAGGGTTCTTTAAGGTGAAATAATACCAATAAGGTAGGGTTTTTTGTATATATTTAAATATATGATATAACAATAATATATATAATTTATATATAACACTTATTATAGTTTATATATATATATATGGAATATATTTATATATACGAGTATAGCCATAATTTAATAATTTAATTTAGGGGTTTCTCTATATAATCAGCTGTATGGCTTTATTTATGCTTCATTACTAAGTTGCATCTATAAATAATTTTCTTTTTCTACTAAAACACCCTTCAATTATTGGTATTATTTTGAAATATAGTGGCAAGATCTTGATCAAACCTAATTAGTAAATCAAAAATAAATCCACCTGAATCCACCTAAACAAATGAGAATAGAATTGAAAAAGGTATTTTAAATCTCAAACTTTATTTATCAGTGTTGTTAACCTAATAAAAACGAACACAAAAATGTTTTCCTAATTTAAATTAATTTATAATTGGCTTAGTTGTAAAATTGTACATAAATATTGATTTTCCAAACAAATAATCAAAGAAAAATATCGATTTAAAGTTCTTATAATAAACATATTTTATGTCTTTTTAGCCAAAAGCTATATATTGCAAACATTTTTTAAATATTTCAAAATCTTAATAAATAAATAACAAGTTAAATGTTACTTTAATATCTTAAAGTTATCAAAAATAAATAAAAAGGAATATAAAATAAATAATAGAATATAAAAATAAAAATAAAAAAAGTTTGTAACTCCTTAGACTGATTTCTTTACCCAATAAAACCTAACACAGAAACCAATTTAAGACCTTTTTGGCTTAGTTACGATTCAATTGCAAACTTAAAAGGGATTAAAAACTTTGGCTTTCCGAAGTAAGACTCCCTTCTGTTTTATTTTAACAGATTTTTTTGTAATTAATAATATAACATTGCATTATTGGCTTAATTTATTAAATAACTACTTTAAAAATATAAGAAAAAAGGGGTGCATATACATATCTATACGTATCATTAAATATTACTTGTACTACTTAATGTTTTACAGTACCTACTAAACAACCTTTTTGGCTATAACAAACCCGTTAAGCTCAAAAACCAATACATAGAGGGATCTTTCAGCCCAAGAAGTCTCACCTGACTCAATCGCACCTGCATACATCTCTCATTCGCATAAAATCAGCCCATGATACCGGTTTAATTACACTTTTTCTCTCCCCAAAGCCCCACAGCGAATGATCTATTTTCGCTACCACCCACCCACTTCCTCCAGGAGGCTGGGGTTGACCCCCAAGAGCGGGGGCGTGGCGCCGAGCTCATGTGGGTGTCAGTGTCAGGCTGCTGGCGCATCGGTGTGTGCGTTCCAGTGGCCACTGCCGATTGGCCGCTGACGGCTGAAACGTCACTCCAGAAACGAGCGAGCACGAAGCCACTCAGCCAATGGACGAGACCCCAGCTGGCACTGTGAGAGTGCAGAGAGCACGCCAGAGCGGCGACGAGTCGAGTGGAAGAGCGCGCCGGCAACAGGTTGCAGAGAGCCCGAGCGAGAGCGAGCGAGCGAGTGAGAACAGGTTGTCGTCGAGTGCCTAGCGTGAATTTTCATTCATAAAAAGTCGTACGACGTCGCGCTCTGCTCTGCCGACGCGCAGCTGCTCTGCCGCTGCCTCTGCTGCTGACTCAATGCAGCGCAGCTCGCTGGGAATTCACAGTTACGTGGATTTCGGGAGACTGACGCCATTGCCACGCGCCCTGCACCCTTGCATCTCTCCATCTTCCCATCTCCACCCCTCCCTCTCCATCGTTGATCGCTCCTAACCGAAGCCATCCGATCATATTACCCCCTGAAGCGAAGCCCGCCAAGTGGCAACGGTAAAATCAGTTTCAGCCCCCGCTTCAGCGAAAAGTTCCACAATATCCCCTCGAAGCACGAAGACCTGGCGCATCATTTGCATGGCCAGCTTGTCAACTTTTTCATAGCCAGATTTGGCCATATTTTTAAGTTATAATTCGCAACTAGTTCTACCTGTATGGAGTATTACATTTGGTCACTACACTGAGAGAATAAATATAACTGCATTTGGGGAAATATATATAAATTTAAGAACTATATTTTTTAAACAAATCACAGCAGATGAGTATAAAATTGCAGAAAAATGTATCAAAAAATTACAAATATATAGAGTTTTATTTTCTATATTAATTTTTTTCTCTTTCTTTAACTTTTGACTAAGTTTGCCAGGCACCACAGGAGTCCTTCCCTACTCGGTAAAGAAATATACTATATGTATATTAGTATTCTTAGCAAGCATCAGCAGTCAATCGATCTATGCATGTCCGTTCGTTTTTACATCCGCTATTAAATGAGTTTGTAAGCCTCCTTTTCATTAACTCCAACATCTGAGCATTTCAAGTGATTCCGGAAACACAAATTCTTTAAAATCAGACCACTATATAATTATAATTATATAAAAACTGATACAACCTTGCTGCTTTATAACATCCACTATTAGTCACAGTTGGATCAAAAGGCAAACTGCAAGTGCGTGCAAACTGTAGCTTTCAGAAGTTAAAATAATTTACAAACACCTATATGTGTGCAATGGATATATTTTTAAACTCTGACCAGATGTATGGTACGCGTAAAATATGAGCAAATAATTTGTAGCCAGGAAAAAAACAGCTATCTTAGCCAACACTGACACTACACCTGGCACACGCAGAGATCACGCGACGATTGCCCGACATTTTGCCTAATGGTCCATGAGTCACTAGCTTGGCGGTGCTTTGGGTTTTCTCACAGGCTTTGGGCTTTGGAGAGCGACTGAAAAAACCTTGGATATCTAGCGGAACGTGCCCCGGGCACGAGCCATAAACCGATGGGGGTGGGTCAGGGCAGGTGACGAGTCGGTCCAAAAATGGAATCTCAACCATTTCCCAGTATTTCCGATTCCAACCCGTAAGTGGGATATTACTCAATTGTGCCATAAAATGGCCCTAAATACCTGTATATATATGGTACATATATTGTTGGAGCCATTGAGAGGTTATTGAAATACACGTACTTGATCATCACCTGGAATAGTTTTAATGGATGAATAATTGACAACGGAATCAAATCCAAAGCAAGTATTTATGGCAGGTGTAAAGTGTATTTGATTATAAAGGCTAATAGTTGGAATTTCTTAATAATTGTTACTTTGAAAGTAAGCTTGGAAGCAGAAGAATTTCAGAGAAGAATTTCACAAGCTTTGGGGAAATTTATAAAATATTTCTTATCTTGAAAGTGAGCTTGGAAATGGTAAATTTATGAGAAGATTTTTAAACAAAAACTTTACTTTATTTCGGAAATATTTAGTTTATATTTAACAAGGTTTTTTTTAAGGTTACAGAAAGAAGGAAAAAACCTTGAGCCAGGATTAATTTTTACATAAATATTATTAATTTTATTATATTATATTATTTTAATAAATTTTATATATTATATATTAAGTACTTAAAGTAAGCCCCAAAATAAGCAGCTCTTTTCAGGGATATCCTTTCAGAAGAAGGCCGAAAAGGTAAAACCTCAAAAAAAATATCCTTAAATCCCATCACTTTACATAAAGAAATAATTAAAAAAAAAAAATTACATATTATATTTCAAGCTCTACATTTTCTTTTGACTTAGCAACCAATACAAATGACTAACTTCGAACCGGTTATAATTACTTTTAATGATGAAATCGCTCAGCGATATATAGGCATCAATGAAGAATTGTAAAATTAGAAGCTGCGTTGCATAATCCAAGCCATTCATGGAGCAAATGAATCCTGGAAATCCTGACTAATTTCCCCCTTCCAAGTCGAAAGAAAGTTCCCATTCATTAATGCGCTTAATCAGTACCATTTATTTGTAGTTATAATATAAGTTATATAAAATAGTATACATAATTTATCGAGCCTGCGAGGCGGTGAATGAGCGGGTGGGTATATAAATAGAATGAGGGGAGGCGATATAAATGCTAATGGATTGACGGTTTAAATAAATAAATAGATAAATAAATAGTGGGTTCTAAGTACAAGTGGGTGGGGGGGGGCGTGACCTTTCGGCCTTGAGATTTCATTAGGTCAGCGATTTCAGTTTCTTTTTGGTATTGCTTGCTTTCGGCTCCGAACCAATCGAGTCCCGGGTCAACCCTTGAGCATGTTGTTCACCAGCTGCTCGTAGGTGTACTCCAGAACGGTCAGGACCTTGATGGTCTCCAAGGCAATGAAGAAGGGCAGCCGCGGAATATTTTTGTGGTAGTGTATCACCTCTTTGGCATTGCACTGTTGCTGCTCCATCAATTCCACGGCCCAGTTTCTGGTGATCCGCACTGAATTCAAGATGTGCCTGAAGGTGCATTCTTTATGATTATCGATGTATTCTGTTGTATTCAACAGAGTATGCAACACAAACAGGGTCTCCACAATCTTGGGCATCTCCTCCTCGAGGCTGCCAACGGCTCCCTTGTACACAAACTTTCCCTCAGCGGTAAAATTCACCTTGCTGACCCGATCCTTGAGCGGATGCTCTAGATCAATACAACCCTTAACGTTATTCATTGCTATGCCAATGCTGCTCTCCTTATAAAAGTTCTGGAGCTGTTTTTAAAGGAAACCTTTTAGAATCACTGCTCCCAGGACCTAAGTTCTTAATGACTTACCCAATCTTCGGTAGTACAGATCACAGAGTCCTTGTGGTCCTGGGCAAACATTAGCGCATCTCTGAGCTTAGCCACTTTTGAGGTATTGACCTTCATACTTTTGCAGCTGGTCACTCCCTTGGTTTGGTTCATAAGCAGGAATTGGGGCTCCTTAGCTTTCCTCACGCTCCTCCGATGCACGTGGACAGATGTTGGTGTTGATGCTGATGTAGAAGGAGTTGAAGAAGGAGCTGGCTCCGTTGAGCTATGGCGATGTGGCAAGTTCAGATGTAATCCACGAGCTACTCTTGGGGCTGCTGATGTCCCCGTGGGCCAACTGCTGGCGGCAATGGTAACAAGCAGAAGGACACTCAATAGCCAGAGCTTGGCGAGAGCTGGAAGGTATCAAAAAGGAGGAGATTTCGGTTAGAAAGAGCGGGTCAAAAAGGGGGTTTTGCTATGACACAGATCTAAGATAGATATCAACGCTGATACCATCCCATGGAGATATAGAGCGGATTTATGGCTGAGGTGATTCAGTGGAAACCGTGACACTTACATAAACGACCAAGACCGAAGCATGAAGAGGTGTTTTTGCTAGTGCTGCTGCTGCTGGTGTTTTGTGTCAAGGAGCGAAACTTTTGGGTCCTGGTCTCCGGAATGTATTGTAAACGCTGCAAGAGCCGGTGCTCCGCGGTACAGGCACTGGTATTAACCATTTTGTAAAGCTGGTCTAGTAACTGGATTTTTTGAACTGTATATAAACTGTGCCTGGGTTGGGCTAGGTCACCAAAAGGAGCTTAAGTGTTGGAGCTGTGAGTAGCACGCGTCTGGGCTCTGCGAGATCTTACGGTTAATGAGGTTGAGTTAAAGCCACACGCCCGTTATATAGGCGCAAGCGCCATTCGCGCGATATCAATAGCCGAAGCCCCACGAGCTTACTTTATTTTATTCGGCACACTCACACCACAAGTACGCGATGCTCGCAACATACAGCAACTCACAACAGCATCAGCGTTCAAACGAACGAACCTCACGAACGCTTGATGACGAACACAGCCAGCGACCAACGACCAGCGGCCAATTGCAGGGGGCGATTCGGCAAGCAAACCCTAGTGATTCGCACCCTCTATAAACACTGGAGCAAACCCTAAGGGACTTGACTTTGACGTGTGCTAAGTTCTGTGGAAGCTCTGCTTAAATTTTAACAGGATTCGAGATCAGGAAGCGGTTTTCTAGCTGGGACCCCTACCCTACCTATCCCGCCCAGCCAAGTCTGACTCAGTGCCAATTCCCTAAGTCCCACAACACTTCTTCCTGTCTTCGGGAAAGTGAGTGTAATTTATGCACGCACGATTCTTGGCCCAAAACGGATGTTCAATTGAATTATTCGATGTTACACTGTGTAGCCTAGGGTTCCCTTTTGGCTTTTGACACTTAGCTGAGGGGTTTGTTACTACTTAGAGGGGGCTTTAGGGTCACTAAATAAAAGGAACTTAGGGAGCATTCACCTAAGACATAAGTTTCCTGGTAGGTTATTTAGATACACTAACCCATCTCTCTCTGATTAGGCATTACTTCTAATCAGAGATTAAGCACAGGTCAGACAATCTCTAAAGTCGTACTTCCTGTCTAAGTGGAACTATATTTCAGCTCTCTTTGACTTGAGTTTACTGGTAGGTTATTCAGAACCACTGACCCATCTCCAGCTCCAATTAGAAATTACTTCTAATCAGAGATTAAACACAGATATAAACCATGAAGTCAGACAATCTTTAAAGTTGAAGTTGCTGGGTAAAGGTTTTGATTTTGCGCTGGACCCACTTGCATGGCCAGTGACGCGTTGCCTCGTAGGCATTTCCGATATAATACCAATCGCTGTGGCACGTGCACCACAGGCTTCAATGAAGAATTGTAAAATTAGAAGCTGCATTGCATAATCCAAGCCATTCATGGAGAAAATGAACTCTGGAAATCCTGACTAATTCCCCCCGTTCCGAGTCAAAACAAAGTTCCCATTCATTAATGTGCTTAATCAGTAAAATTTATTTTTAGTTGTAATACAAGTTATAAAAAAAAATACACTTAAGCAATAGTATACATAATTTATCGAGCCTGCGAGGCGGTGAATGAGCGGGTGGGTATATAAATAGAATGAGGGGAGGCGATATAAATACTAATGGATTGACGGTTTAAATAAATAAATAGATAAATAAATAGTGGGTTCTAAGTACAAGTGGGGGGGGGGGCGTGACCTTTCGGCCTTGAGATTTCATTAGGTCAGCGATTTCAGTTTCTTTTTGGTATTGCTTGCTTTCGGCTCCGAACCAATCGAGTCCCGGGTTAACCCTTGAGCATGTTGTTCACCAGCTGCTCGTAGGTGTACTCCAGAACGGTCAGGACCTTGATGGTCTCCAAGGCAATGAAGAAGGGCAGCCGCGGAATCTTTTGGTGGTAGTGTATCACCTCCTTGGCATTGCACTGTTGCTGCTTCATAAATTCCATGGCCCTGGCTGTGTTGCTTCGCACTGAATTCAAGATGTGCCTGAAGGTGCATTCTTTTTGCATATCGTCGAATTTGGTTGTATTCAACAGAGTATCCAACACAAACAGGGTCTCCACAATCTTGGGCATCTCCTCCTCGAGGCTGCCAATGGCTCCCTTGTACACGAACTTTCCCTCGGCGGTAAAATTCACCTTGCTGACCCGATCCTTAAGCGGATGCTCCAGATCCAAGCTCCAAAGCTTTAAGGTATTCAATGCTACGCCAATGCTGCTCTCCTCATAGATGTTCTGGAGCTGTTTTTAAAGGAAACCTTTTAGCATCACTGCTCCCAGGACCTAAGTTCTTAATGACTTACCCAATCTTCGGTAGTACAGATCACAGAGTCCTTGTGGTTCTGGGCAAACATTAGCGCATCCTTGAGCTTAGCCACTTTTAAGGTATTGACCTCCATGCTTTTGCAGCTGGTAAGGTCTTTGATTTGTTTCATAAGCAGGAATTGGGGCTCTTCAGCTTTCCTCAAGGAGACGTGGTGAAGGCGTCTGGCTTTCAAATGCCTGGCCCTCAAGCTCCTCCGATGCGCGATGTGGACAGGTGCTGGTGTTGATGCTGATGTAGAAGGAGTTGAAGAAGGAGCTGGCTCCGTTGAGCTATGGCGATGTGGCAAGATCAGATGTAATCCACGAGCTACTCTTGGGGCTGCTGATGTCCCCGTGGGCCAACTGCTGGCGGCAATGGTAACAAGCAGAAGGACACTCAATAGCCAGAGCTTGGCGAGAGCTGGAAGGTATCAAAAAGGAGGAGATTTCGGTTAGAAAGAGCGGGTCAAAAAGGGGGTTTTGCTATGACACAGATCTAAGATAGATATCAACGCTGATACCATCCCATGGAGATATAGAGCGGATTTATGGCTGAGGTGATTCAGAGGAAACCGTGACACTTACATAAACGACCAAGACCGAAGCATGAGGAGGTGTTTTTGCTAGTGCTGCTGCTGCTGCTGGTGTTTTGTGTCAGGGAGCAGGACTTTTGGGTCCTGGTCTCCGGTATGTATTGCAAACGCTGAAAGATACTATGCTCCGCGGTACAGGCACTGGTATTAACCATTTTGTAAAGCTGGTCTAATAACTGGATTTGAACTGGATTTGAACTATATATAAACTGGGCCTGGGTTGGGCTAGGTCACCAAAAGCTTTAGTTTTGGAGCTGTGAGTAGCACGCGTCTGGGCTCTGCGAGATCTTACGGTTAATGAGGTTGAGTTAAAGCCACACGCCCGTTATATAGGCGCAAGCGCCATTCGCGCGATATCAATAGCCGAAGCCCCACGAGCTTACTTTATTTTATTCGGCACACTCACACCACAAGTACGCGATGCTCGCAACATACAGCAACTCACAACAGCATCAGCGTTCAAACGAACGAACCTCACGAACGCTTGATGACGAACACAGCCAGCGACCAACGACCAGCGGCCAATTGGAGGGGGCGATTCTCTCAAGCAAACACTAGTGATTCGCACTCTCTATAAACACTGGAGCAAAGCCTAAGGGACTTGATTTTGACGCGTGCTATGTTCTGTGGAAGCTCTGCTTAAATTTTAACCGAATTCGAGATCAGGAAGCGGTCTTCTAGCTGGGACCCCTACCCTACCTCTCCCACCCAGCCAAGTCTGACTCAGTGCCAATTCCCTAAGTCCCACAACACTTCTTCCTGTCTTCGGGAAAGTGAGTGTAATTTATGCACGCACGCTTCTTGGCCCAAAACGGATGTCCCATTGAATTATTCGACGTTACACTGTGTAGACTAGGGTTCCCTTTTGGCTTTTGACACTTAGCTGAGGGGTTTGTTACTACTTAGAGGGGGCTTTAGGGTCACTAAATAAAAGGAACTTAGGGAGCATTCACCTAAGACATAAGTTTCCTGGTAGGTTATTTAGATACACTAACCCATCTCTCTCTCTCTGATTAGACATTACTTCTAATCAGAGATTAAGCACAGGTCAGACAATTTTTAAAGTCGTACTTCCTGTCTAAGTGGAACTATATTTCAGCTCTCTTTGACTTAAGTTTACTGGTAGGTTATTCAGAAACACTAACCCATCTCCAGCTCCGATTGGATATTACTTCTAATCAGAGATTAAACACAGATATAACCCATGAAGTCAATCTTTAAAGTTGTAGTTGCTGGGTAAAGGTTTTGATTTTTCGCTGGACCCACTTGCATGGCCAGTGACGCGTTGCCTCGTAGGCATTTCCGATATAATACCAATCGCTGTGGCACGTGCGCGCGGTAGCCACAACTACATACTGGCTGGAATGGGTATTGGCCAAAGTGAGTACACAAATCGAAGGTGAATTTTTCAGTATAAGAGTCTCGTGGCTGTCTCTTCGAAGCTACTCTCCCCCTCCTCCTGCAAGCCAAAAGGTGAGGTCTCTCTCTATGGGTTTTGGATCTTAGAACCGAACTGAGGAGTTACTCATGCGCCCCCGGGGGGGCATCAGATTCCGGGCTTATTCCCAGCATTTGGATTGCGTATGTTGTCGTCGTCGTCGCTACCCATTAAGTCTCCCCAGGGTGGAGTTTCGTATCAAAAAAAAGCAAGAGAGTTTTCCCAGGCACAATGCGCACTTCCAGGGCAGCAGCTTCCGTTCAAGCGAATGGGGCAAATTCCAATTACTGGGCAGAACCAGAAATTAGAGCGCGACTTTCGAGTTTCTGGAAACTGAAACTGGGAATATTTTCGAATGTTTTTTTCTAAGATTTTCGATATCTTAGATTTTTATTCTGAGCTTTGCGTCTACTTTGGAAAACTGGTCACTTGGTTGGCTTGTTGACTGTTAATTATCGCACTCGAGGTGCTAATTTTGGCCACGCACACAAGTCATCAAAAAAATCTGCAACGTCAGAGCCGGTGTCTAGAGGGAGTTCCGCTATCTCCTGGCCATATTTGCTAACCCTTTTTTAGATATGACGACCATTGCCAGTGACGAGGGAGCTGTTTCCTCCATTGCGTGCACTTCCTTTTCCAGAGTGACGTGGCATTATCAAATGAATGACAAGTTTTTAGGCAAATATTGTCTAATATTGCACTTATCAGGAGGCTGCACGCCACTGCACACGCCCGTTATCGGGGTTATTATATAGTGTCATTATATCTTTGCTATATCTAAAACTATGTTTACAGTGTCTGCAGTTAAAAGGCCATAGAAATATGGGTCACAGTCCCTTTTCAGGTTTCCTTATCCACGTTTCTTTCCCCAATTCATTATGCCATTTTCCCCCAAATTATCCCTGTAATTTTTTCCGTAATTCTCCCCACAATTCTCTCTACAGTTCTCTCCTAATTATACACACAATTTTCCCTCAGTTTCTTCCACAAGTATCCTCCACTTTTTTTTCCCAATTCTCCCCCATTCTTCACTCAGTTATCCCCACAATTCTTATTCCGATTCTCTTACCAATTCTCCCCCAAATCTTCCACTAATTCCCCCCTTTTCCACAAAATTCTTCCGCTGATGCTCCACCAATTTTCCTACAAAATTTCTCCCCTGATTCTATTCAAAATTTCCCCAATTTCTTCCCTAGATTCTTCTCTTATATTCCCACATTCTTCCACTAATTCTTCCCTTGATCCTACCCCAATTCTTACACTAATTCTCTCACCCAACCAATTCTCCGACTAATTCTTCCTCTAATTCTCATAGAAGTTTCCATAAATTCTCCACCTGATTCTCTTCCAAATTCTCTTCCCTGTATTCCTTCCAATTCTCCCCCAAAATCTCTCCCTGATTCTCCCCCAAAATCTCTCCCTGATTCTCACCCATTTGTCTTCCCTTTTCTCCTTTCAATTCATCCACCGATTCTCCTTCAAATTCTTCCCCCCAATTCTCCCTCCGATTCTTATCCAAATTCTCTCACCAAAATCCCCCCCTCAATTTTCTCCCAAATCCTCTCTCTATTACTACCTCAATTCTCCCCCAATTTTTCCTGAAGATTTTCCGCCTGATTCTCCCCATTTCTCCTCCCTTTTCTCTCGCCAATTCTCTCTCCATTCCGTCAGAAATAGTCGGTGACGCAGTTGTTTAGCTCAGAATCCCAGCGAGGAAATACCCCAAATTGTCGTCACCTGTCGCGACCAGATGGGAGTGGGTCGAACTGACCACAGACACTCTGGGTTTACACACACACTATAACCCACTCTAAGCTATTGCCATAGCTATTACCTGCGTATCAGGGTAAATCACCTAGCAAAAGCCAAGCTGAGCTCTGAGCACGGTTGTTTCTCCCTATTTGCATTTGTGTTTAGAGGCTCCTCCAGCGAGCACTCGCTTGGAGCTCTCCCAACTCTCCGGCCGCGTCATCACCCATTCAGGGCGGCGATCGGCGGACGGATCTTCGGCCGGGCGGCACACTCACATGTTTGCCCAGCGCATTATATTATGAATGGAGGAGAGCTGTGGGAAGCACTTGGACGTCGTGCTATATGCCAAACAAGGGGCTCGGACAGGTGAGAGAAGTGGCTATTTTTGGCACTCGCCCTCTTCCACAAGTCATGGTGCGAGGTGCTAGTTGGTTGCTAGCCTATGAGCCACCGGGATTCCCTCAGATGCCGGATTGTTACTCTTGTTAATGTCGTCACTTGTATGCATATCGCGTATACGCCCCGTGGGCTGCAATTAACTAAGATCTCACCTGTGTGGAGTCACTGGAAGTGGCCAAGTCGAAACCAAATGGTAAACAAATGGAAGACCTGAAAGGAGAAAGGATAAAAGGATTAAAGGATATTGTTAAGGGTTGACTTTGGAGTTCGAAATTAACTTTCATTGGAGACCTGAAAGTAGGCAACACTCTCAAGCAAAGCTTTGTCCGCGAAAGCTCAACGAAAGCTGCGGAAATTATTAGCTGCCTGCTTTTAGGTGGCACCACACACAGTGGCTTCCCCACAAAAGGTCGAACCTTTTAACTTTTGATTTCAAATTTATTCAAAGCTAGACGATCGCGTGAAAAAAGAGAGTGAATGATGAATATCAGTTGAGCGGATATCATGCCATTTTTTTTATATATTATGTGTTAGATTTATTTTCGAAGCTAAGCAATGGGCTTGGGGTGTTCCGAAAAACGTTTTAAATAAAAAATTATAGAGAAAGTTTGAGCTTATAAATGAGATTGTTATTAACAACCTAGTCAAAACCTTGATTTTTTGATATTAGTGGGAATAAAATATATATACATATAAGAAAAATATTAGTAAGTATTTCATAAAATATTCCATTAAAATACCTAAGCCTAGAAAAATATCTTCTTAACTTACTAGAAATGACACGGAAAAGTTTTTAAATAATTTATAGACAAAATAGTAATATAAAATATTTAATAAAGATGAATATTACCTTAAACATTAAAATAACAATATTTTTAATATTTCAAACAAAATATTAATTTAAATATAATCAATATACGTTACACTTTTCATAAATAAAATTATGCCAAAGCAGGGGTATTACTGTCTATCTCTGAATGATTTTCCCCACTAAAGACTATAATAAATGGAATTTTCACAAAGATATTGATTTATTAGCCATTTTCCCTTGTTAGAAGCTCGATTGTAAACTTCCATGCATAATTTTCCCATAGAATCACGTATTGCCCCGGGCTAAACTCTACCAGAATGACCCACAGAAGAATCTGGCTGCCTCTCTTCTGCTGGCTTTCTGCTGTTGCTTTCACACACGCTCGCTAGGGTCTCTTGCTCTCTCTCGCTTTTTAATGACGATCTGCTGAACGTTTCCCACACGCGCTGATGTTTACTCACCTTTTTAAATGCTGTGTGTATGTTTTTTTTTTTTTTTTTTTTTTGGCCCAGGTAAGCCAACGTCAATTAAGGCCCAGCGACGACACAAGAAACTCGTGAAAAATCCCCGAATTGGCAACGGTATTAAGCGTGCAAGAAAATTAAAAAAAAACAAGAAAGGAAGCTAACTTCGGCACGCCGAAGTTTGTATACCCTTGCAGATATTATTTCATTAAATTTTACCTATACTTATTGTTTAGAGTTTGACAGTTACAGTTTTACATTCCCAGTTTTACATTTTCTCTACATCTACCGATCGGTTTATATGGCAGCTATATCATATAGTTGTCCGATTTTCATAAAATTTATACCAAAGATCTGAACTAATAATATAAGCTTATATCTCAGAGTAGATAAAAATAGGTTGAAAAACAACGAAGTTATAATGTTTTTTATATTAATTTCCCGATCGTTCCTATGGCAGCTATAAGATATAGTCGTCCGATTTTCATTAAATTTTTATTGAAATTCTGAAATAATATACAATGGTCATATCTAAAAAAAGGCGCAAAAATGTTGAAAAACAGCCAAGTTATAATTTTTTTCTAAAAATTTATCGAACATTTGTATGGCAGCTATATGATATAGTCGTCCGATCCGGCCCGTTCCGACATATATAGCAGTGAGAGCATATAGAAGACTATATGCAAAGTTTCATTCAGATAGCTTTAAAACTGAGGGACTAGTTTGCGTAGAAACAGACAGACGGACAGACAGACAGACAGACAGACAGACAGACGGACAGACGGACAGACGGACAGACGGACATGGCTAGATCGACTCGGCTGTTGATGCTGATCAAGAATATATATACTTTATAGGGTCGGAAACGTCTCCTTCACTGCGTTGCAAACTTCTGACTGAAATTATAATACCCTGCAAGGGTATAATAAAACGCACACAGGTAAGGGTTTAATTTCGGTGGCGGAACAGAAACAGAAACGAACCGGCGAGGTCGAATGTTGAAACAGAACTGAGGCGCACCAAATCGACAGCTGGAGAGGTGCTGATGATGATGATGATGACAGCGGCAGCAGGAAAATCCGTCAAGACGCAGCAGCTGCTGCGGTTTGTTTGTATAATGCAAGTCTCCCTAAAATCGATCAAATTTCCCTGATCCTTGCAGAGATTCTGGCAGAATCATAACCTGCCTTAGCCTTAGCCTTATCTAGTTTGTATAATACAATTACCAAAATCCCCTTTTTATACATTAAAATCAGCTCAAGAGCTAGGTATACCACCTGTAAGGGCCGCCACTGTGGTGTGGGCTGTGTCTTTGCTAAGACGGTTAGGTAACCAGCTAAAAAAAGCCCTTTTGGTTTTAATCCTAGCTAAGGAAAATGTATTTAATTACTGGATATGAAAAAGTTTATAACAAAATAAGCTAGCTTATGTCATTTTAAGCATTTTGGAAATAAAATAATACATTTTATTTATTAAAAATCATTTAATTTTTAATAAAAACTTTAAAATGTATTGTTATATTTTGTTAAACATTATTGTTATAATATTTAATATTAATCCTAAAATTTGTTGTTTTTATTTTTTAAATTTGCCTTTTATTTACCAGTTACCATCTTGATTGCTCGGCAATTTGCTTATAATTATTAGCTGAATGTCTAGCTGCTTAGCTTAGCCACACTTGTGGCCAAGGTTTTCTCACCCGTGTCCTGTGCTGCCCTCATTCTGTGGTGTCCTGACATCGCATGCAGCTATCGAAGCGTTCGAATTTCACGCTTGACAGGCAACCCGACGGACAGGGGCTCATGCAGTAGAGGTCATCTCGAAGAGGGGAGTACTCTGCATCAGAAGAGGTATGCCAGGACTAACAGGTTATGGGGATATATTATATTATTTATAAAAAAAAAAGATTGTAAATATATACAAAATATATGGGACTCATGTTTATTATTATTTGCTTTGCTTTTATAATACTTTACCCATTTGAATTCATAAATAATAAACCAAAAGATTTAGAGTCATCCTGTCAACCCAAATCTAAAACGCTTGGCTGGACTTTGTACTTTTTTGTTTTCTTATTTTATTTCCAGGGTATTCCCCAAGCCACACTCTCAAAGTCCTGGCCGCGAGCTGTTTTGGCCGGTCAAGCGTTGCATAAAGCGCATTAACATTTAATGCCTGTTGCCGTGGCCAAGGCCGGGGCCATAGCCATGTCGTCCTTCGCTTTTGGCTGCTACATCCAGGTAGCTGCCGAATTTGCGTTGCATACTTCGAGGGGGCTGTGGAACGGATGTTTGATTTATGACTGCCTGCCGCTGGGCAGGACCCAGGACCCTCCTCTCTCTCTCTCTCTCTCGCTGTGTGCACTTGGCAGGGATGCCCATCAATCATGGAATTGGAATCACAATCGGAGCCCCCCAAAAACCCTTCAGAAATTAAAGCAACGCCAATCTGTACACATAAACTATTTATTTCCGCATATATATATACTATATATATATATATTTCCATATGTATATATAGATGTATATAGATAATGTATATGGGTGTATATCATTTAGCTGTATATTTGGGTATTGTATGTGTGGTAAAGTACTCTCGCCTGGTGCACATCCCCACTCACGCCTCCACCAGCCACAGCCTCTCTTTCTTTAAAAGAATATCTTTGCATTCCTTCTCCCTCCTGACTTCTTCTCTCTTTTTTAAGTGAATCTCTTTGGCACTGTGGGTGGTGGAAGGGCGAAGAGTATGGCCTACTTGGAGCACACATATCTCCATTATCTCCACTCCCATGTCTCTTAGTTATTTTTCATCGGCTTTAACTTGATATCGTTTCTTTACATATTATGTGTCATCAATTGATTGTTTTACATTTGGTTGCATTTGGATTTTGGCTTACAAAAAAAGGAAACAAAAAAAAACAAACAAACCACTTTCCACTTCTCAACTCTTTGCTCGCATACGCATAATTATGTACAAACGTATTCCCACGATTATTTCTTTATTTTGCTCAGATATTTACATAGATATATATTTATATATAGACCTTGGCCATATAGTATGTGCTTCGTTCGCCCAGCTTGTCACTTGCCGTTTACTCACTAGATTATGCGTAGTTTTGCCCACTTTTCCCCCTGCCCTGGATGCTGGATCCGCTGTGTGACCCAGCAAAAGGCCCGAAAGCCAAAAAAAATCATTAGATCAGATCGCTTGCTCAACTAGTAGTTAAATTTAATATTTGAGACCAAAGACAATGCAATATAAGATACGTAGCGACATATGATTTTCGCTCTATTGAAGTTTGGTTGAAAAGGAAGATAGTAAGAGAGAGAAAGATAACTTCCTGCCTGCTTAAGACTTTTTCGCATTTTTTAGAAAATTGGTGGGAAAGAAAGGAAGAGAGAGAGAGAGAAAAAAAAAACGATCACGTATATGTTGTTGCCTTCTCTATACATTTTTACGCTCTTAAATGTTGTTCTCTCTGCAAACTTGGTTAAAAAGAAAGAAAGTGAGAGAGCTTTCGCAAGCTAGATCTGCCTACCTGTGTAAGATTTGTTTTGCTCTCTAGGAACTTGGTTGCAAGAAGAAGACAGAGAGTGAGAGAACAAAATAAATCGCGTATACGTTCTTGCATTCTCTTTATAATTTTCTTCTCTTTCTTACATTTTATCTCTCTGCAAACTTGCTTAAACAGAAAGACAGTAAAAAAAAGAGAAAGAGCTTATGTAAGCTAAATCTCTGCCTACCTGCGTAAGACTTGCTTCGCTCTCTGGGAACTTGGTTGAAAAGAAAAAGAGCGAAAGTGAGAGAAAAAGATGGATTCTACATTTCTTTACGCTCTTAAATTCTGTTTGCCAGCTAAAGTATTTCTACGCGTTACGCATCTTACTTATTACATTGTCTCTAGTAGTTTATTTTGTTTACGTTTCCGCTTTTGATCCTGTTTCTTTGCGGATATGCCATGGATCTTCGACTAAGAAGTAACAGTAACACTACTAAAGTACTGTTATTCGGTGGTAGCCGCCTGCATGTTGATTATTAACATTAACAACAATTGAACAACGGTAATTACAATTGCACGACATCAACATCAACGTCAACAATAATGACAAATATATTAAAGCATTCATTAGAAAAATCAGCGAAATAGTATACTTCTTCGCTAATTAAACCAATGGCTGCCATTTTGTTTGTTTTGTCTTAAAGATAAAGTTCTCATGGATGCATTATTATCTTGTATCTGGTATCTTGTATCTTTTGCATTACACATACACATACACATATAAACCTATGCACATTCAATGCTAAATCAATCGAAAAAAATTGCATCCATTTATAGTATATGGCATACACGTATTGTATATAGATATATCTGTATATATATATATATATATTAGGTATATATACAACTATCAAAAATAGGACAAATAGAACTTGAGAGTTGCTTTGGCCTTCATTTGACATAATCCTTACTGGCCACGCCCCCTCCCTGTTTTGTACACATTTATATAGTAGTTATTGTTACATAGGTTTTTTTTAGATCGGTAATAGCAACGATATAGAACAACAGTTAGGATGATGAGCAAAACGTGTACAACTTTACTTTTAGTTTTTGGCTGCAACCAAGAAGGATTGCACTTGTAAATAGTTTTGATATACATATATATATATATTTATATATATATATATATATATATATAGATGTGTGTGTGTATAAGTGTATATTTGTTTTGAAGATATTGTATATATTATTCGAATGTTTTGTATAGATATAGATCAGTATTAAGGTAAATCGCTCTCTATATATATGAATATATAACACACTGAAAGTGAAAGTTAACTTTGGGTTTTCCTCACACACACACGCACACACTTATGGAAATTGGAAATTGGGAAAACACTCACACATACACACACATTTCGGGCACATTGAGATACAATTCTGGATATATCGGTATAACATATGGATATATATATTCGAATATATTGAATAGTTCCTTCAAGTTCCTACTAGCTGCGTAGTATCTGTATCCATCGGATGTATCTGCATCTGTAGCTGCCAAATGTACTTGAAACAATGACAGCAAGCAGGCTCAATGCCCATAATCATCATCATCATCATAATCATTGTCGTCATCAAGGCCATGGAGTTGCCTTTGACCAAATTGACAAATTGACAAAGCCAAATGCCACATAGAGAAACGCACTTGATTGATTGCAATATTGACTGATTGTTGTTTGTTTGTTGTTTTTTTGTTTCGCCTCGCCTTGCCTTGCCCCCCTCTGTATCTCTGCATCTATCTATCTGTCTTTCGCCCACTCTGTTTGCCAATTTCTTGAATTGCGAATTTCCAATTTGAATTTCTTCGTTAATTGATTTTCAAACTTCTTCCATGGGACCATACCAGCGTGTTGCTGCTTTTCAGCTTTTGCTGCTTTTCAGCTTTTGCTGCTTTCCTGCTTTTGCATTCATATTATTTTACGTTTAACATTAAATATTCAACGCGAACATTAATTTATATTCGATTTTCGATTCAGCTCGACTCGATTTAGTTTGGCATTCGCTTCTGTGTGTCTTGTGTGTGTTATGAAGCTCAGATTGTACATACAAATTACATTTATTGTGTGGTTTACATTGATTAAAACTTTGGAGTCTGTAGACATTTATTTCCTATATATATATATATATATATATATATATATATATATATATATATGTATATTGTGATGTGTATACGTATGATTTCATTGAGAGTATCGAGTGTATTTATTGTGATATTTCTTGTGGCAAACGGCCTGATTCACTCGATTGTTTGTGTCTACCTTGATTTTTGTGCGATTAAAGTCGAGACTGTTGTCTCAGTGTATTGGCACACGAAAAAAAAATTAGAATATATACAAATACTATGCTTCATATATATATTCAAACTCCTCCAGATTGGGTTCCCCCCTTAAATTGCTCTTTGCACGTAGAAAAATATTTCGATATTTCAATATTTCTTCGTTCGTCATCGCACGCTCTCCATTTTCGATAGTTTCAACTTTCGATTTTCGATTACAAATGGTAAGCAAACGTATGAGAATATATATAAATATTTAAATTTATCTGTAGATTTATCTATATATGAGGCCTGTCTTAATGCAGGTAAGATGAGGTGAGCTGAGGTTGAGTCCTAGTTTGCATTTCCTGCTCCCTGATCTGTGATCTCCGATCTCCGATCTTTGATCTCAGACCTTTAATCTACCATATCTGATCTCTAGTCTCCCATATCTGTTTCCTGATCTCTGATTTCTGTTCGGCCTGAATCCCTTGCAGCATCGCCTTAATCTCTATCGTTTATCGCTTAGCTATCTGCCTATCGATCACCGTTTATCGCTTATCGTTTCGCATTGTTTTACCACTTACCACTTACCATTACCGTAATGCGTAAAGTTACTTGTACCATTATAGTTTCTCTCTTGTACTCTTATTGTTCACCGTTACTCTGATTCTGATTCTGACTCTTTACTGTGCTTTTACTGTGCCAATACTGTACCTCTACTCTGCCTTTACTGTTCTCGTTACTGTGCTTCAACTGTGATTTAACTGTGCCTTTACTGTGCCTTTCTCTCTTCCTCAGATACAGTTCTCCGGTTCCTGTTTTTTTTATTTTTTTGGTCTAATTACTGTGTATTGCTGTTCCGATTGCTGTTTTAGTGCTTATTTCTCTATCCGATCATTATCTGTCTTGTAACCCATTGACTTCAGGTACCATTAGCCTCTGTTCCATCCCGCTTTGGTTCCAAGTGGAGCCTTAGGTACACGGTTTACTTTGCAGTTCTAATGTCTCGTTCCACTTGAATTACATGATGTGCAAAATGCTAGCTGTGTGAGTGATTCTCTGCGGTTGTCGTTATTTGTTTCCTGGTTAACTGAAGATTGTGCCTAGGTGTGTAGGTGAGTGTGTGTGCATCCTGCATCCTGCGGAGTGCGATTATTGTTGTGGTGATTCCATGGCTGCTCTGCGCTTATTGTTCACTGGTGCGTGTGTGTTTGTGTGTAGTAAGCCTCAAACTTTATCGTTCGCTTCATTTCCGATTTTCGATAAGGATTTTCTTGGATCTCAGAGGTGCAAGTAGCTGGCTGCAAGTCGGAAAATAGGTAATAACGATGTCAAAATGTATTAATTTATTATAATTAAAAAATATTTTCACTATCAGCTAGTAATTATAAATACTATTGACTTAAAACATTGAGTATGCTGTTTTATGCTTTTGTTTAATTGCTTTCTAATCATTTTGGCTAAAAATATAAACGAACAAGAAAGGAAGCTAACTTCGGCACGCCGAAGTTTGTATACCCTTGCAGATATTATTTCATTAAATTTTACCTATACTTATTGTTTAGAGTTTGACAGTCACAGTTTTACATTCCCAGTTTTACATTTTCTCTACATCTACCGATCGGTTTATATGGCAGTTATATCATATAGTTGTCCGATTTTCATAAAATTTATACGAAAGATCTGAACTAATAATATAAGCTTATATCTTAGAGTAGATAAAAATAGGTTGAAAAACAACGAAGTTATAATGTTTTTTCTATTAATTTCCCGATCGTTCCTATGGCAGCTATAAGTTATAGTCGTCCGATTTTCATGAAATTTATACCAAAATTCTGAACTAATAAAATAAGCTTATAACTCAGAGTAGATAAAAATAGGTTGAAAAACAACGAAGTTATAATGTTTTTTCTATTAATTTCCCGATCGTTCCTATGGCAGCTATAAGTTATAGTCGTCCGATTTTCATGAAATTTATACCAAAATTCTGAACTAATAAAATAAGCTTATAACTCAGAGTAGATAAAAATAGGTTGAAAAACAACGAAGTTATAATGTTTTTTATATTAATTTCCCGATCGTTCCTATGGCAGCTATAAGATATAGTCGTCCGATTTTCATGAAATTTTTATTGAAAGTCTGAAATAATATACAATGGTCATATCTAAAAAATGGTGCAAAAATGTTGAAAAACAGACAAGTTATAATTTTTTTTCTAAAAATTTATCGAACATTTGTATGGCAGCTATATGATATAGTTGTCCGATCCGGCCCGTTCCGACATATATAGCAGTGAGAATATATAGAAGACTATATGCAAAGTTTCATTCAGATAACTTTAAAACTGAGAGACTAGTTTGCGTAGAAACGGACAGACGGACAGACGGACGGACGGACGGACAGACGGACAGACGGACAGACGGACAGACGGACGGACAGACGGACATGGCTAGATCGACTCGGCTGTTGATGCTGATCAAGAATATATATACTTTAAAGGGTCGGAAAGGTCTCCTTCACTGCGTTGCAAACTTCTGACTGAAATTATAATACCCTGCAAGGGTATAAAAATACGATTTTACATGAATTTTTCAGAAAAAAATAGCAAATTAATGTGAGCATTCATGCAATAAATAAAATAAATAAATAAAATACCAATTATATTATATTATTATTATTATCAAAAATAATTTTTAGGTGCCTCTTCTCATTTACATAGCTAAATAAAAATAAGATGCGTAGATGAGCAAACAAGCTAAGAGTAAGAAAGCCATATTATCGTATTACAAATATTTGTAATAATCACTCACTTAATTCAGTTTGTTTCAGGAAAATATAAATTATTAAGATGCATAACGGCACACGATTTTTTCAAGTGAGTGAGCCACCAAATAAGGAGTAAAATAGGAATATTATTAGATTAATAATAATATTAATAATCAATACCAAGTTGCTTTATAACATGTATTGTGCTTATGCCCAGTTGCTTTCTCATTAAGTTGAACTAAACAAAAATATAAAAGAATAAGATGCGTAACCTCATACGATTTTTTCAAGTGAGTGAGCAAGTGAGCATTAATATGCATATAATTGTATTAATAATATAAATATTAATAATACTGTTAACTATATAAACAATAATATTCGTATTAATAATGCAACAAATAATTAATACCATTATTACTTTATATACTTAGTGCATATAGCATTTAGTATCCACTCACCGTTGGTGCTGCTTCAGCCGGGACTCCACCCTTGGCTGCTCTACTTGCCTCTGCGGCCCCCGACCTATTTGACAAACAGATCCTTGAGCGTGGCACAGAGCGAGGCATCGCACGTATCCTTGGAGTCATCCTCGTCCGCCTTTCCAAACCAATTCAATGTGGAGCGCACCGCCCGACCCGCCTGCGACTGAGCCGAGCTGCCAGCGTTTGAGGCCCGATTGCGACGTGCCCCATGGGCCGGACTACCACTGGCGCTGCCCGTATCTTTACCGCCCTTGGGCGTGGCACCTCGAGCAGCTGCTGCCGCCGATGTAGAGGCCCCACCACCACCGCTTCCACTCGAGCCACTCGTACCGGTTCCCGCCATGCTGGCATTGGAGCTCTTGCGCAGAAATCCCTCAATGGCGGTGCCCAGTATAGTGGCATCCACGATATTCGCCTTGGTGGCATCTGCCCAGCTCTTCTGCTTGGCCCGTGGCTTGAGTTTCGGCTTGCCGGAATCACCGCCCAGCGGATCCTTCTTTTGCAGCCGCTCCAGGACATCCTTGGACAAGGCCACCGCAGAGCTCTTGCTGCGTACACTCTTCTTGCGCGCCATCGGCTGATGGCGCTTGGCAAACCAACCGGACAACGCCGCCGATCCATTATCCTGGGCATCGCTCACCAGCTGCTTGGCGTTGTTCAGCAAGGATACATCGAAGCTATTGGAGCGTGTAGAGCGCCCGGCATTGGGATCGAGTAGACCGCCGGTGGTACCAAAGCCACTGCCACCGCCACCGGTGGCTCCACACTGTGAGACATTATTCGTCGGTGTTGGTGTGGCACTAGTGGCTCTGCCCCTAGCCGCCGCCTGGAAGGTCTGGCTGAGAAAGGGACTGCTGGCCGTGGCCGTGGCCGTGGCCGACGAGCTGGCACTGGAGCTATTGTTATCCCTGCCCTCCGGCTCCGGACGATGCATGTCCATAGCCGAGCTGGTCAGAGAGCTGAAGATCCCAGCGATGTCAGTGCGACTGCCCAGGAGTCCAGAGCCGCTACCCGATTTCTTGCGACGCGTCGAGGCGCGATTCTGTGATGGAGTCTGTTGTGGCTGCTGCTGCTGCTGTCCCGGCTGTGGGAACTCGGAGGCGCGACGAAAAGAGCTGGCCAGTCCCGGTTGTGGGCATTCGGAGTACCGGCGATTGGTGAAGCGTCTTCCCGGCTGCCCAGTGCCCGCCTCATCCACTGTCTGCACCTCGCACACCTTCTCGTTGGAGGAGGTCCACAGCTTCAAGCGCGCCTTCCGCGACTGCAAGTATATGTCGTCCATGATGTCCAGCTGCAGGTTGTGGATGCTGCCGATGGGATCTGTGGAAGGGGGGCCGGTGTTGCTCTCGCGGCGAGAGTTTAGAATGCGGCTGCTCCTGCAGAAGCGAAAGGCGTTGGAGATATATATCATCATATATATTATATATATTTATCAGTATTTATTGTTATTTATTTTAATGTATTATCACATATTATGTATTGTTATTTATTTATTATATTTAACTCTATACATTAACAGGAGGTGAGAGCCAAAATATTTCTTAACCCAAACTTACTTACCCATTACTGTTGGGATAGGCGGCTACAGATTCCCGACGTGACCGACCAAAAATGGTGGTTGGCACCTTTGAAATGGTGACCACCGAATGACGCCTTCCGGTCGGAGCTGGCGCCTGTGACAGGGTGGCCAGAAAGGCGGCCTCCTTGGGCGTCGGTCCTGAACCCTCGCCGCCCCGCTCTGACAACCGACGCACCTGGCTGGCCGTAATGCCCTCGGTGACCTGTTGCGAGGGCAGCGAGTGCTTCCGAGCCTCGCGAGGATCGCGCCATGGCGAGAGCAAATAAGGATTAACAGGCGAATCGATATCCAAGCTGCCGCGATTCGAAATAGTTGGCTCCGAGCTATCTGGCTCCTGCTCCTCGGGCAGGTTGGACTCCTCCACGACAATGAGCGGCTCGGGAGCGATGATGCTGTGATTGCCCTGCGGCTGAGGGCGTACCGCCTGTGTGGGTGGACGAGGATGACCCGGTCCGGTTGACTGACCCGTAAAGCGGGCAAAAGGGGAGCCCCGAAAGCGTAGAGCATCTAGAGGGGATGAAGACGAAGAAGATGGTGATGAACTGGGGGAAAGCAAAGCAACTTCCTTCGCTAATTTGTAATGCAGTGTAAAAAGAAGAGGAAGCTTGCTTTTCCAGAGGCTCAAGTCACTTACCCATTTTGCTTAATTTCTCAATTATTCGCCAGCGGGAAATTCCTCGTGGACTCTTCCGGATTCCTCAGCTTCTTAAATCCTAAACGTTCTGGTCCTGGCTTCTGGTTCCTCCCTCGCCCTGATGTTTGCTGCTCCTTGAAATGCGTAGCTGCAAAAGAGAGAAAGAGCAGTTACTATATATTCTATTTATGTATATATTTATCTTAAATTAAAGGATATAAGCTCTAGACAAATCGAAGTTTTCAGAACAAGCAATTGAAGGCAATTGAACCACAGCTTGTTGCTTCCCAATCAAAGCCCAATTAAGTACTCAAAGGCCAAAACGTGCTAGCCAGAGTCCTGCCAGGATAATTGTTTAAGCTGAGTGCGTTTAGTAGTAGAGTTTCTAAAAAAAAATACTTAGAATATATGATATATTACTCTTCAGTCCATGTGTGAATCCCACTCCCCCCTCCCCCCCTTATATTCTCGGGTTGTTTTGGGGAAAGTCTTGCTTTTCCTGCTCATTATCCTTGGCCACAAATGGCAGCAAAATCATGCATCAAAGTAATTAAAGCCACTGTCCTGGGACATTCCGCTTCGCTGGAGATGACTTCTCCCCCGTGATAGGGACAGCAAAAGCAGCATAATGAGCATAAAATTATGCAAAAGTTGAAATAAAATTTCGCCATAACTCGGAGGCCACTGGTAACAGGGATCTGGGATCTGGGATTCAGGATCTGGTTGAAAGTGGGGACTAGTGATAACTTTTCCTTGGAAAAACTACACTGGGAACCCTGATAATAGCTGTACTATTTATGTAAGTATTTTATTTTATTTTATTTCTGATTTGGATGTACTAGGTTACCTTTCTGGTGACTGATCCATGACACTTTTACTGCTTCCTGCCCGTTTCCTATCTCCGTTTCCAACTTGCCTGACCGCGGCACTTAACAAATCCAAATTACATAAGCAGCCACTGGTTGGGACTTTGAGCGGAAGGAAGCCCGTCTATGATTTGATTAGAAGGACTTGAAACCCCCTCGGAAGTCCTTGGACGTCGCTGCAACGCGGTCAGCACAAAGTCACAAGTCGCAAGTCTCTCTCCCCCCGACCGAGTCGCAAGTTCATTAAGCTTGTAAATTGGCAATCAACACCAAAGTTGTGGCTTTGTGTTGGAGCTAATTAGCCTGTCTATGCCATTGACAGGACCGCCGCCGCCGCCGCTGAGCTTGGACGCCCCGAACATCCGCTTCCGCTTCTTGGCTCCTCCGCTGGAATTATTCTTCCGGGAATTGTGTGCCACGCTTTCATTGTTAGATGCTGAGGTGACTACCAACCACTGAACGAACTAATTAGAGAAATCAAAAACCAAAGTGCAATTGGCACTCATTACCGAATTTGAGAATTCAAAAGTTAAATAATCAGTTCCTAATTAAGGAGGATATATTAAAGAACACTTGTTATGATGGGAGTTAACCCCTTTTCATTTGTGTGGTGAAAGAACTTCCTTTCTGGTTTTAATTTTGTGCGCTCTGCAGTTGCTTTCGGTGGCCCTTTATTGCATGTCCTTTTTTGGCATTTTTGACCCAGTACCTTTACCATTTTGCGGTTTCACCGACAGGCTATATTAGGCCCTGGACCCCTCGACCCAATTGTGCAGCTAATGTGGCAACTGGAGGCAACCAACCGATTCCAGCTCTCTCCCTCTCCCTCTCCCTTCTAATGGGAAATACCAGAAATGCGAGCAACAGAAACTAGTTAAGTAAGCGTTTCAGCCACTGCAGGATGTGGGGGTTAGAAGAGCAAAGGTTGGAAGGATGTCTTCTTTGAGGAATCAAATCAAGTTGGCTTTGATCAAATTATGGCACACAACGATGGCTACCCACTCGGGGCTCTGAGTAATGGAGAATCATTTATGGAGCAAGCTGGAGCTTCAATTTTGATTTGAGAGAGAGAAAAAGCTATATTTAAGGCAAATAAAATGACTTTTCAATTGGTCCAACCAATCCCAATCCCTAGATGTGTGTATTTTGTTAGTCACACATTTTCCACGCCACTCAGTAACACTCAGACTCCTCCTCCCCTCTGTTCGAACCAATTTTGTGGGTGATTGATTGACTCGGTTTCGACGACAACCCAAATCGAGAGTCGACAGATTGACGCTGTGACAGACGGATGGTGTCTGGACACAGCTCTCTGTCCCTGCTCGGTCGCCATGCTCAATTTCAGCTTAGCTTTGTTTAATGGACTTGCACAAAAAAGTTTACAAAGCACTTTGCATCCGAGCAAATGGATGATGGACAGAGAATCGTCCATCCATCTCGCTTAATGCAACATTGCATATTAATGGGAATTAACATTTAGCATTCGATGACGATGAAAAGCACTGTGGGGATTGTCTTGCCAATAGCTGTTAATTGCCCCGGGGACCTAGTTGAGTGCGAGTAATATCCTGCCTTACCTAACATCTCTACTTCAATCCTCTTTGGGGGTTGTGTGTGTGTTTCTCCGCTTAAGTGGCGTTAAGTAGTTGGGGGCCTTGTTTTTTTATTCTGTGGAAAACCCATTTTTAGATTCCGAGGTGGACATTTGAAAAGCCAAAGGTTAAGGGTTAAACCGCATATGGCCGCTGGCAGCTTCATAAGTTCCAGACACAGCTTCGCATTCACATTCAGATTCAGACTCGAGGAAAAATATTTGTTTGTTTTCCGTCAGTACAACTTTCAACCATTTTCCCTGCCGGATTACCTCGAGCGTATACCCATCAAGGGTATGTCCAGTTGTGGTCAGCTCTCTCTCCCTCTCTCTCTGAGAGTACACCAAGTCTTGGTTTCTGCATGAAATTAGATTTCCTGGGTGTGAATTCAGCCCCACCCGAATTATGCCATTGTGGAGAGTGCAATTTCTTCGATACCCCATTCCCATGAGGTATTCAGGAGGTCCTGGCTCTAAGCTTCAGGAGCAGTCAAAGAACTTGGGTTGGCCTGGTTGGGAGGGTGGAGGAGGGAGGGATTCCGTAGAGGAACAGCATGATTGCGGCTTTCCTCGTCTGACTTTGACATGCAGTCTTGCAGTTACCAGCAGTTGCACCTGGCAACGGAAGTGCACACACTCACACAGCCCAACCCAACCAGATTGTGGTAGCACTTTAAATTCCTAGAATTCCGTTGACTTAAACAAGAGACTAGGACGTGTAGAGTACTAGATATATATCAACCTGTTCCCTTCAAAATATCGAACAAATTTAAGGCCATTAAACATTCAGGATATTTCGGTGACAACAGGTGAAAAATGTGTCCATTTCCTATGTGCGTTACTCCTGGTAGTACCTGCCGCTTTCCTCTTGAGTTTTCTCGCTTCCTCTCCCCGTGCTTTGTGTCCTTTGACAGGCTTGTTTATGACATGCAACGAAAATGCGGCCAGCACAGCGACAAGGACTTGCAGATGCTGTATGGTCTTGGTCATGGTCATGGTCATGGCCCTGCCATTGATGGAGGAACTTCCTCCATGGGAGATGGGATAGCATCCGCTTTTGGCTTTGATTCGCTCGGCATTTTGATAACAATGTTATCGCCTAGATGCAAGGCTTGAAGCTGCTGCATTTTTTGCTCCTGCTTTTTGCTTATTTTTTGTACAACTAAAAAGTTGGAAAAGCAAGTGCAATGTGTATGTGTGAGCGGCACAATACATTAACGCGTCAAGCGGAAGTGGAAGCGGAAATGTCACACATTTGCTGCCGCTGGCAACATTGTGGCAGCAGTGTCGCGCTGCCGAGCAGGAAGCGAAGCGAAAATAGCAATCAAAACTTAACTGAATTGCAGCACATGACGGTCCTTTGGGGGTGTGGGTGCACCTCCCAACCCTACTCTTCCTTTTCCCTGCTCCTCCTCACCTACAAAGTTGGCTGTGAGCGAATTAAAACATAAATGCATTTGCAGCTGAGCAACAGGATAGAAGGCGAGCAGGAGCAGTAGCAGGAGCAGGAGCAGGCAGAGCCTTTACTCCTAATCGAATCGAACCGAAGTACCAAAGTGGGCCAAGTGGAAATGCCAGAAAATTTGCGTTGCCCTGGAAAATGTGCAAAAAAAAAAGTAAAAAAGAAAAAACACACACACACAAAAAGTGAGAGAGGCAAGAAAGGCAAAGCTGCTGTAAAATATGCTACGCCCACTGCCCATTACCGCCCACTCAAACCCGTCCTCTCTCTGTCTCCCTTCTTTTATGGACCCATACAAATTCGTTGGCCATTGAACAAGGACGAGAAGGACGAGAGGAGACAGGAGGAGTAGGACCCGGACCGCGCTGTCTGCTCTTGCTTTGCTTCCAATTGAATCAAATTGAATTCAATTGAATTCGCATGTTGCTCATTGAATTGCACAGATTATGGCTAAAATACAATTTTAATTTTACAGAAAAAAATGTGTACAGGAGTATTACGAAGTCCTCTGTCCCTTCATGCTGTTGATATCCTTGCGCCATGGCAAATACTTATCGAGTGACTAGCTAACAAAGTTATTCACTTGAAAAACTACTACCCCATTGAACTTTAAGCAATTGTACTTGAAAGCTCGACAGGTTGTTTTCTGCTCGATGTATTTAACCTGGTGTAATTCCATGAATATCAATAACATCTTCTTTAGTTTTATTTTTGTAATATTGTGAAAATGCTAACCGATAAGGTTAGCCGGCGCGCCCGATTTAGGGCAGAATGATTAGATATAAAGGTCACAAAGGGGTAAATAGCACTCCGTATACCTTATTAAATGAAGTGCAAAAAAAAAAAAAAAATTATAAATTTTTTTTTTTTGTTTTATTTTTTTAATTTAATAAATGAAGATTTTTAAACTGTTTGCTTATTTGTTGGTAACCTAACCTAATCTAAAATATATATTCATTTTAAGTTTAAGTTAAAAGTAAGCCTTTGAAACCATATATATTTCTTTGAAGAATATTTAAAAAACCCACTTCAAAATCTTTAAAAAAAAATGTTTTACATTTTTTACTAACAATTTCAAACTCCATCGGTTTCTGTATATATTTTTTTTGTTACACCCCAGGTTAGTCCTTGCTTCGACTCCCCAACTCTATC